GTAAGTGTTGAGCCCACTTTTATATACGCTCTATACAGCTCACTGTGCCCCCAAATACCCCAGTAATAAGATCATTAAGTTTGCAGATGATACAACGGTGGTTGTTTAAATCACGGCTGGAGAGGGGGAGGCGGCCTATAGGAAGGATGTTGAGCAGTTGGGGGAGGGGTGCAGGAAAAACAACTTCCTCCTTAGCTGAAAGAAAACAAAAGAGATTATTGTGGACTTTAGGAAATGTAGAGCACTTGGAATTGCCTCCACGGTCCAGGGACTAATCCGCCCTGGCTTCCTCCTCGGAGGTCCCTTCAGAAGGAGAAGGGGTCCCAGGTCTCCATGGGGGAAAGCGTTCCTGAGGCCTACGTTCGAGGCCAATGCTTTCGCCTCTCAGGCTCCAGCCCACCTTCTCTCTGGTGTTTTTGTCGGCTGTAGAGATGGGATCACATGCAGACATTCCCAAGTTTAATAAGGATCCCTTGAAAAAGCTGAGAAACCTTCTTCTTTTGCCAATGAACTTTGCCTCTGCGTGATTTATTGGGAACCAGATGCATCCACTCCAAAGAAGCTTCTGCAGCGCCTTGGCATTGAAGACCCAGAAAAAGAGACGGAGGGGAATGTGTGGGTCACAAGGTGGGAGTCGTTGGAAAGGAGTCGCTGGGAGAGGCAGAAGGAAACCTCATCAGGAGGGCTTTAAACTGACTAATGTGGGGGAGGGAGACAGTGCTCCTGAAGGTAGGAGTCTATCAATTGATGAAGATGATCATCCAAATGTCATAGACCAAATGGAGCAAACAGCATGCAGACCTAGTGGTGGGAGGAAAAAATCCTTAAATAAGAGACACGAGGGAATGATTAATGGACTTCAATGTCTGTACACTAATGCGCAAAGCATGGGAAATAAACAAGATGAGCTTGAGCTCCTGGTACAGCAAACTAAATATGACATAATAGGCATCACTGAAACCTGGTGGGATAAGTCCCATGATTGGAATGTAATAATGGAGGGATACAATCTATTTAAGAGAAACAGACCAGACAAGAAAGGGGGAGGAGTGGCGTTATATGTCAGGGATGTGTATACCTGTGAAGAGATCCAAGATTTAGAACCTCAAAGCCAAAGTGAGAGCATTTGGGTCAAAATTAAGGGAGAGAAGAATAACAGTGACCTCATTGTGGGAGTTTACTATAGATCCCCAAGCCAAACGGAGGACATAGATGATGCCTTCCTGGAACAGATGGCCAAGCATGCAAAAGGAAGGGAGATAGTAGTAATGGGGGACTTCAATTACCCTGATATTTGTTGGATGTCAAACTCAGCCAAGAGCATAAGGTCAAACAGATTCCTCACTGCCCTTGCAGACAACTTCATTGTCCAGAAAGTGGGAGAAGCAACAAGAGGAACAGCCATTTTAGATCTGGTCCTAACCAATGTTGATGACCTGGTTAGTGGGGTAGAAGTGGAAGGATCATTAGGCGCGAGTGATCATGCTCTTCTGAAGTTTACTATACAGCGGAAAGGAGCAGCCAAGCATACTAGGACTCAATTTCTCGACTTTAAGAAAGCCGACTTCATAAAGCTTAGGGAAGTGCTGGGTGAGATCCCATGGACAGTAATACTAAAAGGAAAGGGAGTTCAAGATGGCTGGGAGTTTGTTAAGAGGGAGATAGTAAAAGCACAACTTCAGGCAATACCAATGAGACGGAAACATGGAAGGTGCCTAAAGAAGCCAGGGTGGCTATCTAAAGAACTTTTAACTGAGTTAAGATTAAAAAAGGATGTGTACAAAAAATGGAAAAGGGGGGAAACCACCAAAGAGGAATTCAAACAAATAGCCAGCACGTGTAGACACAAAGTCAGAAAAGCTAAAGCACAAAATGAACTCAGGCTTGCTAGAGAGGTTAAAAGCAACAAAAAAGGCTTTTATGGGTATGTTCGTAGCAAAAGGAAGAACAAAGAAACCGTGGGGTCACTCAGAGGAGAAGATGGTGAAATGCAAACAGGGGACACAGAAAGGGCTGAACTCCTCAATGCTTTCTTTGCCTCAGTCTTCTCCGATAAAGAAAACAATGCCCGACCTGAAGAATTTGGAGCAAATGATTCAGCAGAGGAAACACAACCCAGAATAACTAAGGAGATAGTACAAGAATACTTGGCTAGTTTAGATGTATTCAAGTCTCCAGGGCCAGATGAACTGCATCCAAGAGTATTAAAAGAACTGGCAGATGTGATCTCAGAACCACTGGCAGTCATCTTTGAGAATTCCTGGAGAACAGGCGAAGTCCCGGCAGACTGGAGGAGGGCAAATGTTGTCCCTATTTTCAAAAAGGGGAAAAGAGAGGACCCAAATAATTACCGCCCAGTCAGTCTGACATCAATACCAGGGAAGATTCTGGAGCAGATCATTAAGCAAACAGTCTGTGAGCACCTAGAAAGGAATGCTGTGATCACCAATAGTCAGCATGGATTTCTGAAAAATAAGTCATGTCAGACTAACCTGATCTCGTTTTTTGACAGAATTACAAGCCTGGTAGATGAAGGGAACGCAGTGGATGTAGCCTACCTTGATTTCAGCAAGGCATTTGACAAGGTGCCCCATGATATTCTTGTAAAGAAGCTGGTAAAATGCGGTCTTGACTATGCTACCACTCAGTGGATTTGTAACTGGCTGACTGACCGAACCCAAAGGGTGCTCATCAATGGTTCCTCTTCATCCTGGAGAAGAGTGACTAGTGGGGTGCCACAGGGTTCTGTCTTGGGCCCGGTCTTATTCAACATCTTTATCAACGACTTGGATGATGGACTCAAGGGCATCCTGATCAAATTTGCAGATGACACCAAACTGGGAGGGGTGGCTAACACCCCAGAGGACAGGATCACACTTCAAAACGACCTTGACAGATTAGAGAACTGGGCCAAAACAAACAAGATGAATTTTAACAGGGAGAAATGTAAAGTATTGCACTTGGGCAAAAAAAATGAGAGGCACAAATACAAGATGGGGGACACCTGGCTTGAGAGCAGTACATGTGAAAAGGATCTAGGAGTCTTGGTTGACCACAAACTTGACATGAGCCAACAATGTGACGCGGCAGCTAAAAAAGCCAATGCAATTCTGGGCCTCATCAATAGGAGTATAGCATCTAGATCAAGGGAAGTAATAGTGCCACTATATTCTGCTCTGGTCAGACCTCACCTGGAGTACTGTGTCCAGTTCTGGGCACCACAGTTCAAGAAGGACACTGACAAACTCGAACGTGTCCAGAGGAGGGCAACCAAAATGGTCAAAGGCCTGGAAACGATGCCTTATGAGGAACGGCTAAGGGAGCTGGGCATGTTTAGCCTGGAGAAGAGGAGGTTACGGGGTGATATGATAGCCATGTACAAATATATAAAAGGATGTCACATAGAGGAGGGAGAAAGGTTGTTTTCTGCTGCTCCAGAGAAGCGGACACGGAGCAATGGATCCAAACTACAAGAAAGAAGATTCCACCTAAACATCCGGAAGAACTTCCTGACAGTAAGAGCTGTTCGACAGTGGAATTTGCTGCCAAGGAGTGTGGTGGAGTCTCCTACTTTGGAGGTCTTTAAGCAGAGGCTTGACAACCATATGTCAGGAGTGCTCTGATGGTGTTTCCTGCTTGGCAGGGGGTTGGACTCGATGGCCCTTGTGGTCTCTTCCAACTCTATGATTCTATGATTCTATGATTCTAAGGTTGTGTTGAGCAGGCGAGGGAAGAGCAGGAGGAGAGAGAAAGAGCCCCAGGGAAAGAGGAGGTTGGGCTGAGCTGGTGTGGGAATGAGAGGCAGAGAATGCAAAGCAACTCCGGAAACGGTGAACAAGGCAAGCTGTGATCTCGTTTGAGGAAAGGGAATTAAGATGCCTGCTTCCCCATCCCCAGTGGATTAAAATGTCCAAAGATTAGGGAAAGAAGAATGAAGAGGAAGCAGGATTGGATGAACATCATAAGAGTCCATAATTTTCCATTGTGACTTGGCTGAGATTCATTGGAACAGTTTTTAAAAGGCTTTATAGAAATTGGACCTAGAAACTGGAGAAATACTAATTTGGATTGTTAGACTGTCTGAGTTGATTAAGATTTGAAAGCTGGGCTAGGGAGGGAAATGAAGGGAAAGTGTCATCTTGGTGAAGAGAAGAAGAGTTTGGATTTTATTTCCCGCTTTATCACTACCGGAAGGAGTCTCAAAGCGGCTCAATTCTCCTTTCCCTTCCTCACCCACAACAAACACTCTGTGAGGTGAGTGGGGCTGAGAGACTTCAGAGAAGTGTGACTGGCCCAAGGTCACCCAGCAGCTGCAGGTGGAGGAGTGGGGAAGCGAACCCGGTTCCCCAGATTACGAATCTACCGCTCTTAAGCACTACACCACTGTATACTAAATGCAGCTGGGTTTATTCTGGAGTGCAAATTATGAATAATTGTTGCTACAGATGATTTTCAGATGAAGATGGGAGTTTTCTTTTCGGTGCCTGCCCTGTGGAACACCCTCCCAGCAGATATCAAAGGAAAAAACAACTACCAGACTTTTAGAAGACATCTGAAGGCAGCCCTGTTAAGGGAAGCTTTTAATATTTGATGGATTACTGTATTTTAATATTTTGTTGGAAGCTGCCCAGAGTGACTGAGGAAGTCCAGCCAGATGGGAAGGGTATCATCTATTTTTTTGTATTTTTAATATTTTATATTAAGATTCCTTTATTTTGAATTTAGGAGGACACACCTAGGAAGAGGACACTTGAAGGTGGGCAGGACCTGCAAGGAATGCAGGGAAGGATCTCTCAGGGTGGGATACGGGGAGAAGGGGGGTCACGCGAGAAGTGGGGGAGCCTGCCTTTCTGTGGGCTGACGAATGATATGATATATATGATACAAATGTCATAAACAGTATTTTTGTTTATATCCCCCCCTTTCTCTTTTCTATACAATTGTATTTTGTAAGGGTTGTTTAATATTTTTTGTTCTATTTCTCTTTTTTGGTTTCCCCTCTGTATGAATTCTTTGATGGGAAGTGAGATGGGAGCTCTTTCTGAAGCTCTTTCCACATTTCAAGCACTGATAGGGTTTCTCCCCTGTATGTATTCTATGATGGCAAGTGAGATGGGAACTATTAGTGAAGCTCTTTCCACATTCCAAGCACTGATAGGGTTTCTCCCCGGTATGAATTCTGCGATGGGAAGTGAGATGGGAGCTATGAGTGAAGCTCTTTCCACATTCCAAGCACTGATACGGTTTCTCCCCTGTATGAATTCTGCGATGGGAAGTGAGATGGACCCTCTGACTGAAGTTCTTTCCACATTCCAAGCAGTGATACGGTTTATGCCCTCTATGAACTCTTTGATGGGAAATGAGAGTGTCCTTCCGGCTGAAGCTTTTCCCACATTCGAAGCACTGATAGGGTTTCTCCCCTGTATGAATTATTTGATGGGAAGTGAGATTCCCCTTCTGACTGAAGCTCTTTCCACATTCCAAACACTGATAGGGTTTCTCCCCTGTATGAATTCTTTGATGGGAAGTGAGATTCCCCTTCTGACTGAAGCTTTTTCCACATTCCAAGCAGTGATACGGTTTCTGCTTCTGCCCTGTATGAACTCTTTGATGGAAAATGAGAGTGGACTTCCGGCTGAAGCTCTTCCCGCATTCGAAGCACTGATAGGGTTTATCCCCTGTATGAGTTCTTTGATGCAAAGTGAGTTTGGCCCCATCCCCGAAGCTCTTCCCACATTCGAAGCACTGAAAGGGTTTTTCTCCTGTATGAGTTTTTTGATGGGAAGTGAGACTGTGCCTGAGACTAAAGCTCTTCCCACATTCCAGGCAATGATAGGGTTTCTCCCCTGTATGGACTCTTCTATGCAAAGCAAGATCACCACTCTGACGAAAGCTCTTCCCACATTCCAAGCATTGATAGGGTTTCTCCCCTGTATGAATTCTTCGATGGGAAGTGAGATGTGCACTTTGACTAAAGCGCTTTCCACATTCCAAGCACTGATAGGGTTTCTCCCCTGTATGAGTTCTTTGATGCAAAGTGAGCTTGGCCACCTCCCCGAAGCTCTTCCCACATTCCAAGCACTGATAGGGTTTTTCTCCTGTATGAGTTCTTTGATGCAAAGTGAGCTTGGCCCCCTCCCCGAAGCTCTTTCCACATTCCAAGCACTGATAGGGTTTCTCCCCTGTATGAATTCTTCGATGGGAAGTGAGATGTGCACTTTGACTAAAGCTCTTTCCACATTCCAAGCACTGATAGGGTTTCTCCCCTGTATGAATTCTGTGATGGGAAGTGAGATGGGAGCTATCAGTATAACTCTTTCCACATTCCAAGCACTGATAGGGTTTCTCCCCTGTATGAGTTCTTTGATGCAAAGTGAGAGTATTACTGTGTCTGAAGCTCTTTCCACATTCCAAGCACTGATAGGGTTTCTCCCCTGTATGAATTCTTTGATGCAAAGTGAGAGTATTACTGTGCCTGAAGTCCTTGCCACATTCCAAGCACTGATAGGGTTTCTCCCCTGTATGAATTCTTTGGTGGAAAGTGAGATTCCGGCGATTACTGAAGCTCTTTCCACATTCTAAGCACTGATACAATTTCTCCCTACTCTGTGTTCTTTCGTGTGAAGTGAGGCTATTCCTTCGAATGAAGGTCTTTCTTTGACGGGAGGTGAACTGGGAGCTCTGACGGATGTTCTCTCCACACTCTGAATGTTTATATGACTTCTCTGCTATGTGGATTCTGTTGTGCTCCGCCTTGTTCTTCCCTTCCAGTTCATCTCCATCTGCAATGAAGAGAGAAGCGAATTAGAGCCTCAGGAGGAAATGGAGCTCCAGATCATTGAACCAAGTTAATGAATGCTTGTGATAGAGGAAGAACTAAAAATAGTTAGATGTGGGGCCTTTCTATAGTTTTCACTGCCTTGGTTGGCTGGTATTTACTGACATATTGCTTGGCTTTTATCTGGAATGGATTTTCTTCTGGCTCAATCCTGGACTCCACTCCATCTCCAAGGTCAGTCATCTCTTTGGTCAATCAAATGCAAACAGAAACAAAAACAACACGCCTGACAGAATTTACATCAGCTTCCCTAAAAACTCTGAAGCCGGCATTTAAGAAGGCCTGGGTGGTTCAGAGAAGCCTGGTCACTGTTTTAAAAGGCATGACTAGACGCAGAACATTCACAGAGGAAACAGTTGATATCCCTCCATTCTGGGTTCACGGTGGGGGATGTTAGAATGCCAGACGCTGTTGGTCTCCAGCCAAAGAGTTGAAGTTCATCACATACAGGTATGTATGGAACATCTACACCTTGTCTGTGAAACAAACAGCAACATGTTCACCTGAACACTCCCCATCAGCTGTTGCCTCAATCTAGTCGGTCTAAATTTAAATTTATACGTAAATCACTTTCTTCACTTTGAACCCCCACCCATGTCCATGAGGAGACCAACTCTGTATTTTTTCATTAGCAACAGAAGAGGAAACGTGACTATAACTCAGTTCAAACCAATTCATGAGCCCAGAACTCATACACCGACCACTAATGATGAACCATGTTATAGATATTCCTGCAAATTTATTCTGCTATTTTTGATATGCAAATGGCATGCGAAGACTTAGTCTACATATTTGTATCATTTATTAGTCTTATGATCCTTGTTTTTAAAAGCAAATAAGAAGTTATTCCAAAAAGGAAAAGACAACACACAGAGGCCCCATCTCCATTCAAACTGCAAAGCAGGATCAGTGAGTTTTCTGACATTGGCAGGGCATTCAGATCACAGAACTGGTTTTAGACCTTTTGAGCTGCCAATACATCACGGTGACTGGGGAGCTGTGACCTATTCCTGGCTCAAATTGCCTGCAGATGACAAAGGTGCAGGCAGGCAGGTGGGGGAGCCCAAAAAGGTGCTCCCCTTCTCCATCTCCATCCACCTGCCTGCCTCCCCCCACCCCCAAGCTGAGCAAGCCCCAATTCCTCTCCGGCTCCATCCCTCCAGGTCCCCATCTCCACTCTCCTGGGACTCACCAGATCTCTCGGAGGTCCCTGGGAGGGAACACTCAGAGGTTGAGAGGAGGGCTGCAGGAGACAACCTGCCCAGGTCAACCGTCCATCTTCCCCCTTCCATCCTCGCTAGCTTTGCAGGATCCGTCTCTTTCATTCTTCCTGAGGAGTCAAGGAGCCATAACAAGCTAGAGGGTCCTGGGAAAGAGGAAGAAGCAAAGGGAGCCTTAGAGGCCCTGCAGAGATTTTCTGGCTGGAGGGGAAGCCTCCCAATATGTTGGGGGCCCCATCCACAGCAAAATCCCTGCTTTATCTCATTTCTGGCTGGAGAGCCTCCCCTCTTCACCCTCCATCCATCCATGTCCCCATCTCCCCTCCCCTGGAACTCACCAGATTTCTCGGAGGTCCCTGGGAGGGAACGCTCAGAAGTTGTGGGGAGTGATGCAGGAGACAACCTGACCAGGTCAACCGTCCATCTTCCCCCTTCCATCCTCACTAGGTTTGCAGAATCCGTCCCTTTTATCCTTCCTGAGGAGTCAAGTAGTCAGAACGAGCTGCAGGGTCCTGGGAGAGAGGAAGAAGGAAAGGGAGCCTCAGAGGCCCTGCAGGGATTCTCCTGCCCCTGGAGAAGCACAAATGGGGCGGCCCCTTCCCAACAGAAGCCCCATTTCTATACCTCTCCAGTGGTTCCAAAAAATCAGGTAGGCTACTTGTGTGGCAATTAAAGACAAAAGAAAAGGAGAGAGTAATAGAATGAAAAATAATTGAAGATCCTAAAGAAATATGCAAAGAAAAATTAAATTACTATAGGAAATTTTACAATGAAGAAGACCAAGAGGAAATGGAATGATTCATAGCACAAAATAGACTCCCTACAATAGCAGATTGGAAAATAGAACAACTAAATGTACCAACAGCGATGATGGAGGTGCAGCAATCTCAAAAGCAAAGATAGGAAAGTCCCCAGGTACGGATGGATTATCGGCGGCATTTTATAAGAAGTTAGAAGATATATTATCAGAACCAATGAAACAGTACTGGACCAAATTTTAAAGGAAGGAAGAATACCAAAATCATGGGAAGAAGCACTTATCACACTGAGACCCAAACAAGGAGCAGATCCAACATTAATCAAAAATTATAGACCTATATCATTGTTCAATAATGATTATAAAATATTTGCCAACATCCTAGCCAACAGATTAAAATAAAGTATTGAATAAAATAATACACAGAGATCAGGCTGGCTTCTTACCAGGCAGACACATGCACAATAAATTGAGAAACATAATTGATATTTTAGAATATTTAGAAGCACGATCAGATAAAAAAGCCATTTTGATGCTGATAGACACGGAATAGGTCTTCGACAACATCTCTTGGAGCTCCATGAAAAAAACTACAGAAAAAACAGGACTCAGAGAAAATATTATTAGGGGTGTTGAGGCAATATATTGAAATCAGAGAGCCAAATTGATACTAAATAGTGAAATAAGAGAAGAATTTAAAGTAAGTAAGGGGACCAGGCAAGGCTGCCCCCTTTCGCCTCTACTTTTTATTACGGTACTAGAATTCTTAGCAATGACAACAAGGAGTGACCAGGGCATAAAAGGTCTAACAAGGGGGAAGAAGTCGCACAAGATGAAGGCCTCTGCAGACAATGTAATTCTAACTACAGTGGTGCCCCGCAAGACGAATGCCTCGCAAGACGAAAAACTCGCTAGACGAAAGGGTTTTGCAGTTTTTGAGCTGCTTCGCAAGACGAATTTCCCTATGGGCTTGCTTCGCAATAGGAAAACGTCTTGCGAGTTTGTTCGCTTTTTTCTTAAAGCCGCTTGAAGAGGCGCAGTTGCGACGGACCGTGCTTCGCAAGACAAAAAACATCGCAAGACGAAAAGACTCGCTGAATGAATTAATTTCGTCTTGCGAGGCACCACTGTACTGAAAATCTGGAGGAAAGCATACCAAAAATAATAAGGAAAATCCTTGAATTTGGAAGTGGCAGGATTTAAATTAAATAAAAATAAGACTAGTATGCTAGCCAAAATATGTCAACAGAGGAAAAAGAAGGACTAAAGAAAATATCAGGATTGGAAATAGTAAATAAAACTACGTATTTCGGAATCTGGCTGACAAATGAAAACGCCAACCTATTTAAAGACAATTATATTAAAACCCTGACCAAACTGCGGGAGGCAGTGGAAGACAGGAGTGCCTGGTGTGCTCTGGTCCAGGGGGTCACAAAGAGTCGGACACGACTAAACAACTAAACAACAACATATTAAAACATGGAAAGTAATCAATTTTGAATCATATGATAAGAAAATTGATATATAGAGTATGGGAAAAACATAAAGTGGTGTTAGAACCTAAAACCCCCTGGTGGATTTCACCTCAAGAAGTAATAACTGGGGAAAAGAAAAATATGGAATTGAATTGGGCCACTTTCACTGCCTTGTTGTGACGAAGGGGCTTGAATAACTTAGAGACGCTATGAGCTAAGCTGTGCAGGGCCACCCAAGACGGACAGGTCATTGTGGAGAGTTTAGACCAAACGTGATCCACCTGGAGCAGGAACCGGCAAGCCACTCCAGTATCCCTGCCAAGAAAACTCCATGGACAAAGACAACAGGCATATAAAAGTTATGACACTGGAAGATGAGCCCCTCAGGTCAGAAGGCGTCCAACATGCTACTGAGGAAGAGCGGAGGACAAGGACAAGTAGATTCAGAGCTGATGAAGCGGCTGGGCCAAAGCCGAAAGGTAAGTTGGATGTGGTGAAAATGAGATGGCAAGAATAAATATTGACATCCTGGGCATCAGTGAACTAAAATGGACAGGGATGGGCAAATTCAGTTCAGATGACCATCATAACTACTACTGTAGGCAAGAATCCCATAAAAGAAATGGAGTGGCCCTCGTAGTCAACAAAAGAGCGGCGAAAGCTGTACTGGGATGCAATCTCAAAAATGATAAAATGATCTTGATATGAATCCAAGGCAGACCTACAAGAAATAGAGTACAGATTTCCAAAGAATAGCAAGGAGAGACAAGAGGGCCTTCTTAAACGAGCAATGCAAAGAAATAGAGGAACACAATAGAATGGGAGAAAACCAGAGATCTGTTCAAGAAAATTGGAGCTATGAAAGGAACTGTCAGAGCCGCTACCAGGTCCCAGCTCACAGAGGACCAACGCTAGCCGGCAGTAATGTGCAAAAGTCTTTATTGAAGTACAGTTTCCATTTTCAAGCCGCAGCGCGCGACTCTACGTCTTAGAAGCTAGACCGGCGAAGCTCCGTCTGAGTCTCCGCCTCCTGTACACCAACTTAATACTCTAGCCTTACTCCACCTCTTCCATCTCTCCTTCCTCCTCTGGGTCCCTCTGCCCCCCGTGGTCTCTTCCTTTCTGGACTCTTCTGACGCCGACCCCCCGGACTCTTCTCCCTCCTTTCGGCGGGCTTTAGGACCTGGCTCCCTATCCGGGCTACTTACTACGCCGCCCTCCTGTACATTTGAACTTGGCGCGCGCGCCCCAGCTTTCCACCTTCCTCTTGACCGTTTCCTCGCTCCCCGATGAAGGTGTGGCCACTCCTGAC